ACGACCGTACCAGTCTTTGGACACGGCAGGCTGACTGATTTATGGTCGATGGCGTTTTTCTTGGCAAATAGGCTTAGACTGCCCCGCGGTCGCTGGAGTTACTATAACTTTAGTGTAGCGAGAGATACTTGGCCTAATTAACGACCGTACCAGTCTTTGGACACGGCAGGCTGACTGATTTATGGTTGTTTACACTGGACGTTATGTGGAAATGCACCAGCCGTATGTCTGTTATATGGTTATAACCCCACATGGTGTGATGTTTCGGATCATGACGTCATACTACAACCATGTATATATAGCAGAGCAGAGTCCATAATCATATCATCGCCCTCTGATAGACCGTAGAGCCATACAGGCGTAGAGCACATGCTTCTTCCAATTCATACATACCCATGGATGTTTCATCCATCCATATATGATGGCAGGCCGTTGTACTGCGTGCAAGTGAAGAGTGTGAGTGTTGAGTGCGGGTAAGTTTGGTTGTAATATTTAACACATATTTCCCGCAATTCGGTACGTTTGTAATGCCGGTTGTTTACCCGACCGTCGTGCGCGCACTGAACAAATTAAGTCTTCTTTACCCGACCGTCGTGCGCGCAGTGAAGAAATTAAGTTGTGTTTACCCGACCGTGTGCGCGCAAGTGAAGAAATGAAGTCTTCTTTACCCGACCGTCGTGCGCGCACTGAACAAATTAAGTCTTGTGCCACCCGACCAGTCGTCCAATATTAATTGATGCGTGGGAATTGAACTGAACGAAACGTGTATTGTAATAGGATAAAAGACCTACAAAAACATTGTTTAAGGTTACATCCTTGAACAAAATAGGGTAGGTAGGTAGGGAGATAATGTATTTGTCGCCAGAATATGTTATTTGCTCTTCTTCATTGAATTTAAGTCTTAATTTTAAGTCTTGATTCCATCTCAGGCAGCATCTGTCGTAGCCTGGCACTAATTGACCAACCTGTGTCGATAGTTATATTTAACTATTAATTCGCCTCCCTTTTCTTCCCAGTACAACAATGCAAATTATCTTCATAGTCTTGGGCGTCTTGCCTAAAAAGTCTGTTTTACATTATTTATATATTTAATATATATATATTTATTATAATTCATCTCATCTCATCCTCATGCTTCTCATTGTTGCCCCTATACTCGTCCAACAAAGTTTGTTTTACGATGTATTCTTGTTGCTTCAATCCTTTCTGATATAACAATAACCCTTTCAACCTCCTTAATGTCATTGTCAGTGTTGCTGGCTAAAGTACGTTGAAAATTCCGTAAAGGTACTGAATTGTCATAGTATTAATTCCTGTGCCTTTCCCTAATAATTTCTTTATCTGCAAGTTCAAGCATGTCTCTGATGTGTGTTTTATTGTGACCGCTGTATGCTTGACTACAGGTTCGATGGCGCGTTTCTTGTTTGGCGCGCAGCGCCGCGCGGCGAATGTTTTTGGCGTGGCGGTGCCCGCGGCGTGATTAACTTACAGCATGTTGTACATACACGCTCCGGGAATACGTGGATGTGTGTCCGCGGTTTAATCATTGCGCGCACCCACCGCCACTTGGGCGCCGAGGGAGAACGTTAACTACAATAAGAATGCCATAAAAGTAAACCGTCCGGCCGCGTTCGCTTTTCTAGCAGTCGCCGATTGTCTAACACACTGAAGAAACTACATCATGAAACCATTCAGGAATTACACAAGAATGCTACATTCATCATTGCCCATCCCAGATATGAAACTGAGAAGAGACACGCGAGACAAAAACGAGACATGCGAGAGGAGATCCACACAGGGGGGTGGGGCGTCGCTCCACTACAACACAAAACACGACAGCGGGTGCGGGAGAGAGAGAGAGCGCCGAGGAGGACTAACACACAGAGATAGAGACGGGACGACACACATATGGACAAAGCCAGAGAAAGACGGACAGAGAGACAAAGTGACTACGCAGAGCAGCCGACAGCAGGCCAGAGAGAGCGTGGGCGCCGGCAGGAGAACAGACGCGACAGAGGACGATAGCCAGCAGAGCACGAGAGAGATACACTCCTACAGCGCAAACAGATTATACTCCAAGAGATACAGGAGAGCTATGAGGATAAAATTTTGGTGATGGGGGACAGAGAGAGAGGGCAAGCGACAGCGACAGGAGAGAGAAAAGCGAACAGACGGCGACAAAGCGAGAAGGGCGAGAAAGAGACAGAGGAAATGAAGGACCAAAACAGAGACGAGAAGACAGACGAGAGAGAGAGCATAGGAGAGAGAGGCCGGATGCGAGCGGCCGAGGAGAGCAACAAAATTCCGACAGGAGAGAGAGAGAGACCGAGCGAGCGTGCGTTGGAGCGAGGGTCGCAGGCGTAGCAGTATCATAGACTCAGCTTACGTCTGCCGACCCAATTCAGAAGAGAATCAAACAGGTTGTTTCGAGACAGGCATCTACTCAGCAGGTGCTAATAAATCCCGCAGTACGATCTGACACAAGACAGCAGGCAAGGAGATGAGAGGCCCGACCATAGCAGAGCGACACCAACAAGATAGAGACGAGAAGAGACACGAGAGACGACGAGAGGAGAGGAGAGCACGAAGCAGAAGAGAGAGAGAGCATGCGAGAGAGAGACACACAGGGAGACACCCAGAAAGACAGAGAGAACGGCGTCGGCTTATGACCGGCGAGCAACAGTTGCAAACACTGTTGCCCTTTTTCATGACTTCGCTACAATATAACATTCCATGACAGTAAACATTCGGCGCCGTTTGCTTACATATTGTATACGACAGTTGTCGGAATATTTGCAATGAACTTACAATTCTAATTAGCTACCAACAACACCTCAATGGACCTGAGCCCTTTCATTCTATTGCCCCTAAAATCGTCGACTCTTCGCTGGCAGCTATGGATCCGTGCGCCGGCTATGCATTCGGCGCACGGATCCATAGCTGCCAGCACTGCGTAGTCGCGCACGACGTTCCCGCGGTCGCGTGCGCCTTGCCGCGGAACTGCGCGCACGATCTGCGCTTCTAGCGCTTGGGATTAACACCTCCTTTCGGCAACGCTTCTCTAGTATCCCGTCTCATCTGGACGATTTGGTAATTTCTGTTGTCTAACACTATTCCCCCAGTACTGTTCAGATACTGGCGTCTCTCTGTTTTTCACCGGCAAATTAGGGCATGTAAAGAAGGTATATAAGCATGAAAAGTAAACAGAAACACTAATTGTATTTTCATACATTTTATTTTGTACAAATAACACACAAATATACTTCTTGATGGTGCTAGAAATTCGTGACGTAATCACTTTAAAGATTATATTTTGTTCGTATATTGTAATGTAATTTGTATTCTGTGACAATCGTTTGCGTTTACTGTTGGTGTCTAGAGTAAAGGCATTACAATGAATATTAATAATTGTGTTGAGTGATATTATACGTTTTGTAAAAAGTTGTATTGAATTTATTTTTTTCATTTTTACCACGTTATATATTTACCACGGATATATTTAGTAACGGTATATATTTTTACCACGGATATATTTAGTAACGTTAGTTCTTACTTTTAATGTAAAAAAATAGCAATTTTTTTTTTACAAATTTTACCATGGAAAATTCGTGACGTATATAGTCCCTTTAACGTTTAGAATTACTGCTAGTACAAGAACGGTAGGTGTCAGCACTATCTAATAGTTATGACACCTAACCAGTGTATGATTGGGTTAAGTATAAATACCAATTCGTGGACCGCATATTCTTTGAAGAAATGAATGTTTATACATTTTCTTTGTTTTTAATTTTTTAATGATATGTTTTCGAATACAAGAACACGCATGCGTACCAGTTTTTCCTGGGAATGCCCTCCCTGTGTAGTCAGTTGATCTATATAAGCTGTACTGTCACGATGTGCACGAGAAAGTAAATCGATCACAAAAGATTTAATTATGTTAATCAATCACGAGACTCAAACTGAGCAATACGCCGTGGCCATGCAGTTAGTCCTGCCATCTCCAAGCAAGGATAAATGATGAAAGAATGGTCCCAATAACAAACCTCGTGGCAGTTGCCAGATACGATGGAATGCATTAACCAGGTTAAAATGCATTGTCACAATTACACACAATTTTGTAGTAGATGGGTTCGTGATGTTGTGTAAGTAACGACCATATAATATAGTTGATACAATTAAGTGGTTCTGAAGATGCAAAGTCTCAAAACAATGCCACTAGTAGCATGGATTATATGGTGAAATATGTACGTTATATAAAGTTACAGATGGCATTAAATTTGTCATTTTGCGTAATTTTGCTTCGGTAATTGGATCCTGAATAATGTGCTTTATTAAAGCTGTTTACTTTGTACACAGTACAATTGTGTGCTTTAATATAGGCGGCACATGCAACTGAGAGATATCCATGGTCTATTGGCTATTTATTTGATGACGGGGGTAGGGACCGGGTCCATTCCAGTGTCCCGGTTAAGGTATATGTCATTTCCTATTTCCCAGTTATATAAAATCGCAGTCCTTTTAAATCTAAAAAATCTTACTTTTAGAAGTTTATCTGCCATTTTGCTGTTTCTGTTTAAAATAGCCCAATCCCGCGTCTCGAAAATAACCGTTTTCCCTCGTTAATGCTACACTTGTAATTGGTTCTTCATTATTCCCCCGTACAATTTATTTCTGTGTGGTTATAACTATAATTACATCGCTCGCTAAATGAAATCATTAAATTGTAACCATGTCTCCTAAATGAGAAGCAAGTTGTTCGATCCCAGTTGCTCGGTTCCACATTCGCAAAACCCTCTACTCCTTCCCCTTAATAGTTCCTAGCTCCACCCCTGCAGAAATACAGTACTGGTTGCTTATTAACTAGTACAGTCACATTGATCACCATTTGTCGGGCACTGGCTCATCTAATAAGTGTTGACATCGCGAGTGTGTGTACCCGCGCTTGCGCGAGAGAGAGGCACTGCACGAAATTCTCCGAATTCTCATTTCCTTCTCTGCAGAGGGCGCTGCTGTGAACCGGACGTGCCAGCCAGGAGAACTGCTGTGTCGCGACGGAAGCTGTGCGAGAGTGTGCGACTCGGTGACGGACTGCCCCGATGCGAGCGACGAGGCGCGATGTGGTGCGTGCGAACGTTGATTGCCGGCGAAACAACCCTAAATTGATCTCATTCTCGCAATTAACCTCGGCTGGAATTATAGTTGATGGGGTTGGTAGGTGGGCAACGTATCTCCTGCGTTATACGCTGCCCACGCTATAGGGTTGCACGCGTGTGGGCAACAAGTAAATACATCGTAACTTGTTATACAAACGGTCTCTCCCGTCGAGAATGAATCTGTCGGTCTGTTTGCTTAGTAAACTGTAAATATGTGTTTATTTAAGCGTGGCCTTACACTGATAAAATCAGCCGAACGACGTCACTGCGGCTCCTATTTCCATTTTCACTTGTTTATTGAATGTTTAAAGCCGCGTAATGCGCAGAACACATACTTAAAATCAATCTAACTGAAGAATTGTTATCGTAACGATTTTTTGTGTATCAGCATTAAAAAATCGTTACAACGCACTGCTCTATTTCCGAAAAAAAGTGTTAACGTGTTTTAGCGTAACTATCAGCGGTTTTGGTAAACTGAGGAGAGTGTTTTTGTGGATCATGAGTTGGTTAGTTAACGGTGGTTTAATGGTACTGACGCTGAGAGGGTCTATGTCCCCCAGGGTACTGCCGGAATGTACCCTGGGTACGGTCCGGTATACCGTAACGTACCCTGGTACCATGCAGAGCATATAAATCAACGTGATTTATATGCTCTGCTGGTACTATCTAATATGCCGGACCGTACCTCGCCTACTCCACTAATAAAACGAGTAAAACATATAACGAGTAAAACATATAACGAGTCTAGGGAGTCGCCTACGCCTACTCCCTAACCCTAACCCTAACCCTAATCCTAACCCTAACCCTAAACCTAACCCTAACCCTAACCCTAACCATATCAGATAGTTACTAGGGTACGTTCCGGCAGAGACCCTATGAGCGGTACGGACAGTGAAATTTTTTTATGAATTAAATGTCTTCATAGTGGTTGGACGCGCACACACGCACGCACACACACACTCACACGCACACACACACACACACAC